GCTGTGGGTGAAACCACCACAGGATCTCAGAGACACTAACAATTAAGAAAGCTTTCCACATCCAGTCACCCACAAAGTCAGGAAGCCTTAGTTCTCGCTGCCAAGAAGTCTCAAGCTTCACAACCAAGCCCTAAGGTTTAAGAATTCAGCAGAGCCACACTAATTGCACTGGGCAAGTCCTCCTGGCCTTCACCCTCAGTGAAGGACTTTGGTGAAGGGTTTAGAGGGGAAGGGTGTGAGGAGAAGCTGAAGTCACTTGGTTTGTCCAGCCTGGAGAAGAGGAGACTGAGAGGAGATCTCAGTGCCTGCAGACCTCACACCACTCAGGGATGGAGATGCAGGAGCCAGGAAGCTCAGCCATGGTAGTGATGGTCACTATTGAGTAAATTCATCAAGTAAATTAAGGCTGGTGCCATCTAAAGCCTCTAATGCCAACACTTATCTAGGCAGCATCTTGCCTCTTACCAATTGAAATGATGAGGTCTCTCCTGAGGACAAACCCAACAAGCCTTTGGGATTCCCGTGACACCACCACTGGGTAGCCACTGTAGGTGGTTTCATTGATGATGGTCTCGACATCTTCTACGGTCATGCTGTCCTGAGTGATGACAGTCAGAGGAGGATCGTTCCTTCGTGGCCTCATTACATCCATGGCAAGTGTCTTGTGTGAGAACTCTTCCTTGGCTTCCAAGAAAGGGTATCCATTGAGGCGAATGTGGGCATCATAAATCCCTTCCCGCCCAATGGCATCAGCCACCCATTTGCTGGTCATGGCTGCTGCCATCAGAGGAACGATGTATTCCAGTCCACCAGTGAGTTCAAACATAATAACCACTAGTGACACGGTCATCCGGGTCACCCCACCTGCAAAGAGGACACAGGAAGTCAAAGGACATGACCAGGTAGTTTTGGAGCTGCTCTTCTCCAGGCAGAAGAGCTGTTCTGAGGTTTGCTGCAGCTGTCCTCTGCCAACACATCTAGAGAAGGCCTTGTATCAGCACGTGGTTGTACTGTTGGACACCTACATCACATTCAACATCACAGTGGAAGCCAAACACAAGGAGAAGGTAGCAGTGAAGCCACCCATCCCTTCCAGAGTATCACACCATGGGGCTGGCTTCCAAGGGTTTGCTACGTGGTTTTGAGGGGTCTTCCCCTGAACTCTGAAGCAACCTCAAAAGATGGTTAAACTTTCTCTCGTGTTACTTAGCTAGCTGCAAAACACTGTGGCCATCCCATAGAAGGGTCTTCTACACACCTCTATGGGCAGACTCATGAAATGTGACCTCCAACAGGCTGAACACAAAAGGCAAGTGTCCTCCTGACACTCTCTAATCCCCTCAAAGGGCTTCAGACAACTTATCTTTCAAGTCTGCCAGCTTTCAGCCAGACATTTGGACTTTGGTGAAGGGTTTAGAGGAGAAGGGTGTGAGGAGAGGCTGAAGTCACTTGGTTTGTTCAGCCCGGAGAAGAGGAGACTGAGAGGAGATCTCCTGGGGGTCTAGAACTCCCTCCCAAGGGGCAGAGGAGGGGCAGGCGCTGATCTCTTCTCTCTGGCCACCAACGAATGCCAGGAGCAGAGGACATGGCAGGAAGATGTGGCAGGGGAGGGTGAGGTTGGCCATGAGGAAAAGGTTCTTGAGGCAGCCAGAGGGTGGTGGAGCACTGGAACAGGCTCCCCAGGGAGGTGCTCATGGCACCAAGCCTGACAAGATGCCAGCAGCATTTGGCCAAGGCCCTCAGGGACATGGTGTGAATGTTGGGATTGTCCTGTGCAGGGACAGGAGTTGGACTCCAGCATCCTGGTGGGTCCTTCCCACTCCCAACCTTCTGTGATTCAATTATTTCACTGCTGTCCATTAGACTTTGGTGGGTTTTCAGCTCTCAACAGAAAAAACAACGAGTCCTCTTAAATTCTGACCTCTTTGTTTTCTAACAGCGCTTTATCTCGGTATATTTTAATTCTGCTTTTGAGATTCGAGTCCTAAAGTTCCTCCCAAATATTTTAGAGGAGTTTTGTTCCAATAAGCATCTCCTAAAGGGACACACACAAGGGCAAGTTCTTGTGCTGTTCAAGAATAAACAGAGCAGTTAATGAAGCAGAACCCTCTTGATTTTTCATCAATTACATGCAAACAAGAAGGTGTATCTCCTTCAACATACCCAAGATGAGGTTTGGTAGCTCTACTTTTATTGTTCCTGAAATCAAAGAGTTTCTCCTGATAGACTAGTCCCTTAAGAGTTAAATGGATTATTCTCTGGAGGAGAAGACTGGGAATTAGAGTGAAAGTGAAGTTCAGTCACGTGCACTTAATTTCTCCAACTCAGCCAAGTGGAAAAAGTGTTACCAAAAAAAAAAAACCCAAAGCACTTGAAAGAAGAATTGCATCATAAGATTTAAAACCAGAACAGGAAGTCAACTGAATTAAAACCCCACAAGAAAATCTCAAGTCCCTGGCCAGTCACATTTTCAGGAGGGTCTCCACTGCAACCTGTCAGGTCCAACCACAGGTTGGTGCTGGGAAAAGGACACAAAGAGGATGAGAAAGATGTTGCCTATTCTAGGACAAAGTTCTTGTCCTTGAGATGAAGCCTGTGAGAACAGCAGCAGCATTTCACTGCTACACATCTTCACGTTGATCAAGCAAGAGTCACACCACAGCTTTGGACTTCAAAAGCCACCTCACTTACCCAGACACGCCGCAGCCCCAACCATTGCATAGAGACCAGGAGTGATGCAGTCGGCTCCCTGGCTGCACCAGCCGCTGAAGATGGCCCAGTCGTGGTGGTAAAAGGCCAGTTGCTCCACGGCCACCCCGAGTAACCTGCCTGCTATAGCACCCACCGCCATGCTGGGGATGAAGAGACCTGAAGGGACCTGTGGAAACACACATTGTTTCTCAGATATCTCACAGACTAGAGATGGAAGTTCAAGACAGGAGCGAGTCAGAGGTTATGCTGGAGTTAAAAGTGGTGAGGATGCCTTGCTCTGTCACCTCTGTCCCTCCTGATCTACATTTCTGCAACAGAGTTTGACTTTCCTCCCATCTGAGCAGGAGAAATAGCCAACAGTGGATGAGAACAAGCTTTTTTCTCAAAAAGTTCATTTCCCAAGAGAATATAAAAAGCTTCACCCACACACAGCTCACACTCCCCCATCCCTTCCCAACCACACCCGCAGGTGCTGATCACAGCCACAGGATTGTCCCACTCTGCTGCACAAGAGCCACTGCTGGCAAGTTCCACCTCCGCACTTCTCCTCTTCCAGGAGTCCCAAAGCTCTTGTTCTTTGAAGTCAAAGAGTCTCCCTCACTCACCTTTCCACACTTATCACACAGCTTTCTCACAGACTTGAACATCAGCGCCCACCTCACAGCATCAATAATGTCCAACCCTCTGTGGTGGCATCACCTTTCCACATAGACCACTGGGGGAGTGGGGGAAGAGATGCTCAGCTCCATCCACTGAACCCCACTGCAGGAAACCTCAGACCTAGGTACTATATCCACAACTCAGGAGGCTGCCACCAAACAAGTCCAGAACCATCTGACCCCAAGGAACAGCTCTGATAAGTACTTAGAAATTAAGATATCAATTGTTTTGCAATTAACTATTGTGTATATATTCCAAATATATCAAAAAGGCTTAAGGAAGGACAATTTAGAAACATTCCATGTCTGGAAAATGGGACATGAAACCTTGAGAGAGCAGCTTCAGTGTCCACACTCAGGTTCAAAGGTTTCTACTGCCCTCAGTTAACGAGCAATAGATAAAATAATTGCAGTCCATCACTTCCTCTTTCACTTCTGTGTCAACCCCCCAA